TATTTCCAACGCTTGAAGAGCTTTAGAATTTGAAAAGATCAAGCTCCTAGAAACACAAATAACCCAGGTGGGGTGACTTCTTTCCCAAGGCCATTTGAAGACAGAATCATGTGTTATCACTTGTCTTTAGTGGTCTTCTTATACCACATAATTTAAAATATAGAAGCTCGAAGGGCGCCTGTCTGGTTCGGTCAGTGTAGTATGTGACTCTTGATCTTGGGGTTGTGAGTTTGAGACCCACATTGGGCATAGAGTTTACTAAAAATAAAATACAGAAGCTTGAGGACATTTTCATAAAGACTTCCTCTTTCTCTTTCTTAAACTCCCTCCACCCCACCCCTAAGAGTCACCATGCTCCACAGAAGGCCAGAATTTATAAGAAATATTTTACCAAAAAAAATGTTTAATCTCAATCTGGTCATTTGTGATACAAATTGAATCAAATCACATTTTAAGCTTCAAAACTTTGCCATTTTACATTGATTTAGAAGAACTGCCATTAGTTTAAAAACAAATCTTTAGCTATATTTTGAGACTTGAGAAAGAGGACTTCGAATTCTCATTTTGCTTGGGATTAGTCTGTGTTTGTTTGTTTTTAAGTTTGGCTGTAAATTCGGCTTTGTTTCTGAAATAACTGATCTAACGCTGGAAAGACCGTTGGGTCCATATTCTTGTTATCTGCATCGTTGTTATGGTACCCACCTTGAAAGATTTGCCCCCCCTTAGATCTGGCTCATGGGGGGAAAGTGATGTTAAGAAGCCATGAGTGCTTGGTATGTTAAACCTTCTGAATATAACATAGTGGCTGCCAGCTTCCTTTTTTCTTTTATTAAAGATTTATTTATTTTAGGGAGAGAGCGTGCGCACAAGTTGGGGGGAGGGGCAGAGGGGGAGAGAGAATCTCAAGCCGACTCCACGCTGAGCTTGGAGCCCAACTCAGGGCTCAGTCTCCTGGAGATCAGGACCTGAGCCGAAAGCAAGAGTCGGACGCTTTACCACCCAGGCGCCCCTGCCAGTCACCTTTAGATGAAAATTACAATAAAGGGAAGCTACGTTTCTCAAGGAAAAACAACTACCACCCACCACCACGTGGTGAATCTGGATTCTTGAAAGTCAGACATCTGACCGGGATCCAGCCACCCTGGGTGATGATTCTTTTTCCTTTCCTTCTTCCTTCTTCGTACTTCTGCTGCTGTCCTGGACCTCTTCCTTTCCAATGTTGACATTGATCCCTGCCCTTCCAGAAAGGAGGGGGAATAGAACAACCTGGAAACCAATCAAAACGGACTCATCCACGTGTCTGGGGAGAGGCTGAGGAAGGGAGCCAGCCCGGTGGTGGTGGTGGCCTGGCGGGGCCAGGGTCACAGGCGGGTGCTGGGCGACCGAATATGGACACAGCATGCACATGGCAGTTCTGTGCGTTCTCGAGAGGCTTGGCCATTGGCATTTCCACGTTCCTCCTGATTACAAATCATCAAAAGACGGGGACACATGCAGATTTATCCCAGGCTTTTCTGAGGTCTAATCTTGATAATCAGAGATGACGATCTAATGCAAGGCATGGTGAAGTGTCAGAAAGGCTGCCGGATAAAAGCTCTGTGGAGGGCTAAGTGCTTGTTTTTGTTGGTCAGCTAAGTTTCCCCACGCTTTTGTGCATCTCCGTTTACCCTGTGGGGGACCTGGCAGGAGCTCTGGCAATCTCTTCCCTGTAATATTGATTTTATTAGAGCAACAAGACAAGAAAACCGTCCCATTCTGATTGCTCCAAAAGAAACAACACTTTAATGTCTTATCTTGAAAATTTAATGTTTGCCTCTGAGCTATCTTCTTACTGCAGAAACACCTTCAGAATGAATGCCCCTAGCCTGAGGGGCTCAGCTGGGTTTTGTGACACCTCATAAGCAACTGGAAAATCCAAGTCCAAACTTATGTCTTTGGCCGAGGCACCCTTCCTTCTGACTTCTTTGGGGGTAGAGGTGGAGAAAAATGGCTATTACCTATCTTAAAAAACAAAAAAAAAAAGTCTTTAGAAACACCACACAGTGCTACCAGTTGGGGAGGGGGTCAGGCTAGAGAGAGAAGAGACCCCCTTATTTCTAAAATTCCTTGTGTATAGAGGTTAAAGAAAAACATGCCATCCAGCAAGCACCCCCCCCTTTCCCCCTTGAGAGGTTTTTCGGGAGTGCCATGAAATCAAACTGTGATGGATGTTGAACTTCAAAGAGGTGAGGAAGGGACATTAGTGCTTGAAGCCAGTCTCCATGGCATTTGTATGTGATGTACGTCTCTCCCAAGCCCTGTTCCTCCCTCTCTGCTCTGCTGCACTCCAGGTAACAGTGGCAGTAGCAGGGACATTGGGACCTGTAAGCTGCCCTCGCTCCCCCTGGTGCGCCCACTCCACCCTAGAACCCTCCGGGGTGCGAGCTAGGCCTTGCTTGTCCCTTTCTTTTCCCTCGTGCTGGGAAAATCACAGCAACTTTTCCTGCCCCGCCAAGCTGCAGACATGGAGTTAAAACTCCAGATGTTTGCAGCGGGTCTCCCCACCCCCATGTATGGCCTAGTACCTTTTCAGGGCCTCCGTGGTCAAGAGAGGGGGTAAAGCGGGTAAGGAGGCCAGAATTCTGGAGAGGGGCTACCAGGCTAGACAGAAGGGAGCTGGGTATGCTCTGGCAGAAGTGGGTTGCACAGGGGAATCCACCCAGCGCCAAGTTCATGGGCATTGAGCCCCCACACCCTCCTTTCCAGACCCAACCCACTGGAGTACACAGTGGTGATAACTGTTAGAGTGATAGTAATTGCTGCCCATTCAGTGAGACTGTGGCATCGCCTTCATCCCTTCCCTACATCTGGTGGACCTGGGAACCGACCGGCTCCACTTTTGTGGCTGTGAGGCATACAAGTGTCAGTGGATTTCAAGAATAAGGGGTTGGCGGGGGGCGTGTGTCTGTAAATGGCCCGTTCATGGGCTCGATTGTCCCTAGGACCTACCCAACTGCATTTAGTCTGTGATCATGGTAGGAGTGAGGTTAGATGAGGACCTTTTTGTTCTAATGCTAGACTCTGACCCCCCCCCCTTCATTTTCAACAGCGTACTTACTATTTTGTATTGAGCACCTACTGTGTGCGGACGCTTTACTTAATACATCGCTTTGTCGGCAAGCCCTCACAACGCCCAGAGAGCCCGTTCTTTGCACCGGAGACTGGCCTAGTCTCAGTCCAACCCCAGGCTGCGGGCCTAGTGGCCTTTCCCTGCCGCGGCGCGATATTGGAAGCGGCGACTGCGGGGAGGGCGAGGAGCGTTGCAGTTCCCGCCGCGCCCGCCCGCGGGGCAGGCAGCCGTGGGGACCCAGGGCCCGAGGCGCGGGGGGGAAGCGACAGCTGTCGATGTCGCGCCCGGGGACTGCGCCCCCGCGGGGCC